GAAATACGGGCGAAAAAGAGGGGAAGCGAGCCGTGCGCGAAAAATTATGAGATCCGCCGTTTCAGCGCCGCCGTCCAGTGAGAAACGCGCTTTACGTGGGACACTGTATGAATATTTTCGTTCCGTGAAACAATATTATACGATGTGTACTTTACAACATAGGGAAATTTCTTTGTTCTAATTTGCTCGTAGACGTTTCGGTTTCGATTAGGGTGCCGCGGCGAGGTACCATGTGCCAGATTTTGCACCCTCTTTATTGCGCATGCATGCACAGAGGAAGTCATCGACCGGACATCACAGCTTCGAAAATGTCGCACCTTTATCAGCAAACGATCGAAGCTTTGATATACTCGGGAAGGTAGTTGTCGTTGCATAGTGTGACATAAAAATATATAAATATATATAAACAATAATTATGCAATTGTGTTAAATTTAACTCTTAGTCGGCACAACGAGTCCCAAAATGGCCCCTCATTTCGGCTGATTTTCTCTCTTCGAACTGAAATATCTGAAAGTACGTTGTTTATAAAATACCGAAATAGATGGCCGACTCGCGAGACGTTGTTTGTCAAGTGCTGACTAAGGGTCGAAGGTAGTTTAGAAGAACTACAGAAAAGTCTTCTAGGTTCGTTTCTATTTCAGATACGATGATTCCCCGGATTTTACAGTAGTGTTGCAGCCATTTATTAAATTATTCAATGCACCAAATGCAGACCCGAAGCGAGCACCGCCGATCGACCCTGCTTTGGTCACGTACGATTGCTTTCACTTCAGTCAGAAGGGTCACGCATTAGGTAGGTGAAGAATGTCAAAAGAGTCGTTCAATGATTTCATAGCGAATTAAAAAACCAGAAACATTTTAACAGTTTTAAACGTAATACGATTCTCTGTTAATTGCTAGGAGCGAATTTGTTGTGGAACAACATGTTCGAACCAGTTGGAAATAAAACGGAACGGGGACTGCCAGAGGTATTCGAGAGACTATTGTGTCCGAACGAGAACGCGCCATACATCTTCACGAACGTCAACTCGAGACGGTTTCGAATGACAGGGCGCCAAGATGGTATCACCGTGGCTAGACGACGAGCACGGGGAACCGACTGATAGCGACGGCGCTCTCACACTTATGTGATAATAACTACCAATACGTATGAACAATGATGAATCCACCGGGTCAGTGGAAAATTTCACAAGCGATCTTGATTGTCAAGAATGAACTTGGTGCATCATGCACGTTTTAGAAAACGATGATATAGGTTCCATAGTCCTCTCGACTGATAAAAATTATGTCCGTGGAACTTTGGAACAAAATTAAACGAAAAACAAACGTTCGTATGTACGTGTATTCTCTTCCATATTTATGTGTCCCTTGTTCATTCCCGAAGTGTGTGGCGAATGTTCCACACGTTACGAGGCACGTATACGTCGTATAACGATGTACGTATGTATGTATACATGGACTAAAAAAAGATATTTTCCGAACCGTCCTTCGGTTATTCGATAAAGTTACCTACTACCACATCGCTGATGGCGGTGAGAACAAATAAAACGAGATATGGACGTTGCGTGATAAACGTCACCACGAGCGAACTGGGCGGTGTTCCGATAACAAATCGAGATTATCATTCAAAACGTTGATCCCCGTTCACGTTGCGCGTATCTAATTTATGACTATCTCCCCATGCAAACAACCGCGACGGACGATATGGTTCTACGAAAATAGGAAACCTGCCAAGATAGGTTTGATACATATGCGTACAAACTGTATATAATTACTTAATATACATGTACGCAGAAACTTAACACTAGAAAGACTGAAACTTAGTATATACCTGTATTGCCCAAAGCAGTCAAAATGACTGCATTGTGAAAGAATAATGTGTAAAGAAATTTGTCTAAAATTAATTTTTAATATTTTTTATATTATT